TAATGGATCAAACATTAAAAGCTTCCCTAAACAGGGCTGCCTTCAGATGTCTTCTAAAAGTCTGGTAGTTGTTGTTCTCTTTGATATCTGGTGGGAAGGCGTTCCACAGGGCGGGTGCCACTACCGAGAAGGCCCTCTGCCTGGTTCCCTGTAACTTGACTTCTTGCAGTGAGGGAACCGCCAGAAGGCCCTCGGTGCTGGACCTCAGTGTCCGGGTAGAATGATGGGGGTGGAGACGCTCCTTCAGATATACTGGACCAAGGCCGTTTAGGGCTTTAAAGGTCAGCACCAACACTTTGAATTGTGCTTGGAAACGTACTGGGAGCCAATGTAGGTCTTTCAAGACTGGTGTTATGTGGTCTTGGCAGCCGCTCCCAGTAACCAGTCTAGCTGTCGCATTCTGTATTAGTTGCAGTTTCCGGGTCACCTTCAAAGGTAGCCCCACATAGAATCATAGAGTTGGAAAGGACCCTGAGGATCATCTAATGAGGTTTCTAGCTAGCTACTTGTCTGTCCTCATCCCCCACCCTCTCTGTGCCTTGATCTGAGACGGATTCCCTGTGTCACTTGGTGTTTCAACTGCACTGTGCCAGTTTCTGTTGATGGAGGAATCTGCAAGCTTCTGAGTAACACAGAACACCTTGGCAGGCAGAGGTGTCAACACCTTACAGGGCTGTTCTGAGGATTACGGAGGTGGATATATTTGCATGTGTGTATTATTTCTCTGTTGCTGACGGAAGCTGAGAGTGGTGTGCTTAAGGCTGCTAGTCGAACAATCTTCTGTTCTGCCTGTCTACTCAGAATTAACTTTGAGATGTTTTCAGGAAAGTGGATACAGCAGGGGTTGGGAACCTCTCCCCACGCCCCCAGGTGTTGCTGGCCTCCAACTCCCATAAGCCCCAGCCAGCATGGTCAATAGCCAGGGATGATGGGAGTTGGAGTTGAGCAACATCTAGAGCAGTGTTTCTCAAACTTGGGTTCCAGCTGTTTTTGGATTACAGTTCCCATCATCCCTGACCACTGGTCCTGCTAGCTAGGGATGATGGGAGTTGTAGTCCAAAAATAACAGGAGATCCAAGTTTGGGAAATGTTGATAGAGAGGGCCTCAGGTTCCCCATCCTTTGAGTATAAAAAGGCAACCCTAGCAAGTTTGTGGCCGTGATCATATTTGAATCCAGGACTGCCCAGATTCTAGATCCACCTTTCAGCTGCTGTGCTACTCTCTCTGTCAAATGTAAATACTTTTGGAGCAGAAAGAATTAGCCAAATCTCTCCAAAGACTCCTTTGGGCTTTCCCAAAAGTCTGCACACTAAGGCATGTTCTTTCTCTGTTTCAGAACATCTGGAGAGGGCCATATTGGTCACTTCTGTCATAGAACAGATGTCAGCTTTGAGAGTGAGGTTGGGTTATTTTTTTAGGGGAAAGGGGGAATCAGCTTTGGGATGGAGAGGATGCCAGGACTTCCTCACAGGGACAACCTCCTCGTCATAGGAGTGCGTGGTTTGGATTGACACCATAATTATTTTGGGGTGCAAAACATCCAGATCCCTGTTTGGAAGCTTTGGACCAAGTGCATCAGAAGAAGGAAGAACCTCCCGGTCAGGAAGACCTATGATTTGGGGACATCTCAATGTCGGGGGGTTCAGAGATTTGCCCCCTCCAATTCAGGCTATGATGTACTTCGAGTGCTGATTGTGGAACTGGGAGCCAGGAAGAAGGAACTGGGACACCAGCAGACCTCAGCTCACGCCATAATAAAATGAGTTAAGTCTTTCTAAAGACCACCAGACTTTTGTTTGTTTCAACACATCTCGGGGGCTGAATAAGGAACTGGGAGGCCCTTTAGCCTGGCTTGGAGGGTCCCACTTGCTGACATTGTTCAGCCGGATTGCAGGCAAAGCAATAAAAGCTCTCTTATTCCTTGTGACCCCCCCCCCACTTCCAACTGTAGTGTGTGTGGTTAGCAGACAGTATCCTTAAGAAACTGGAAGGGAGGGAGGACAAATTACAGGCAGGGGGGAGACTTCCTTTGGCCACCTCTGGGCCATCCAATGGCCAGGAGGCCCCCACCTCCAGCCAAGCTGGCTTCCATTTACAATTTCAGAGCAGGCGTGCCTGCCTTAGCTGGGGTGGGGGCAAACATGCGCGGGTTGGATAGTCATTGGCATTCTCCTCATCTGTTTTCCCCACCAAACCACCACCAGCAGCAGCCCGGCTCCCACCGCCAGGCCGCGCCTGGCAACATCTGGGGTTTTTGTCTGAGGCACCAAAGCGAATCGCCTATTATGGAGGCGGTGGCAGTGAATGGGTTCCTCAACAGGAGACTCAGGCTTCATGGGGCAGGCCTGGGGCGAGGAGAATTAGGGCCACGCCTCCCCCCTCCCCAGCCAAGCTCATTTCCCATGTGCACTTTGGAGGCAGGGAAACAACCCAGCCTCCCCCCCCCCAAAAAAAATGCAGTCACAAGGTCCAGGGGCAAGGAACCCCGAGATCATCAAAGCCTGCCTAGGAAAGTGTATCTTCTTTCGATCTTCTTTCTTATTCTTCTTGGGATTAAGAACCTAGTGATTATACAGATAAGAGAAAACATCAAGCAATGTCCAAAATATAGCAGTACTGTAAAAAGGGGAGGGGGATTATTCCAAACGTACACAGCTTCCCAGCTTTGCAAGAAATTGATTTCGTGAATTGCATCGCTAGAAGAATGAGAGGTACTCTGCAATTTTGTCCTCCTTCCCTGGCTGTTAGTCACCCATTCTAAACCTCTTGGCTCAGTTATGCTCTCTTGCAAAAGCAAAGAATCAAAATCCTCCCACTATTTAATGTACAGAAAACTTCAGTACAACTATTAATGCCGAAATAAACAAATGACATGCAAGGAAAGTGCTGCTGGATCAGACCCAAAAGTCACACTTCCTCACCGTGTAAGACAAGGTGTCTCTGGAAAAACCCACAAGCAGGACATTTAGAGATCCGCCTTCCCCTCTAGTTCATCCCACACCCAAGTATTTGTTGCTTCGAAGGTAGACTGCCAGTCAACATGGAAAATCTATCTTTAGTTAGCATCCTCTCTACTAAGGCCTGAGTGAAAGCACTCTGCACATGCTCAGAGGCACACGTCATGTCTCCAGTGGCTCAGCCCTGGCACAAAGAAGCAGCTCTGATGCCAATCCCCGACCCCAGGGAAGAAAGTGTGGGGTGTGATGGGAAGAAAGAGGGCTGTGCTGTGAGTCTGGAAGCCCTCTGTTTCGTCTTGCTTCTGCCACAAAGCCCTGAGGTGGTCTTTGGCAAATGACCACATCTCAGGTAACCACTTGCGACTTGGGGTACTGTCACCCTTACTGGCCTACCTTGCAGGGGTGTCTTAAGCACCAGCAAAAGCAAGGAAGTGTAGAAAACGCTGCAGGAACATAGGAAGCTGCCATATATGGAGTCGGACTGCTGTGTTCCATCTGGCTCAGTAGCGTCTACACGGACTTGGAAGCAGCTCTCCAATATTTCAAACAGGGAGTCTTTCCCCAGCTCCACCTGTAGACCCTGTGGGGAATTGAACCTGCGGCCTTCTGCATGCAAGACAAGTGCCCTGCCACTGAGCTACGTCTTCCTTGCAGCTATAGAGGGAGTTGAGCAGAGTCCTATCCCCTGGGATGAGAAAGGAGGACAGGGGAAAGTGGAGCTTTCCCGACCACTTAACAGCAAGCGGTGTGCCTGCCCCCCCCTCCTTGCATCCTCGCTGCCATGCTTTAATGGGACACATGTCCAGGCGGAGCTCAGCGAGAGCGGCTACGCTCTTTTACAGTCACAAAAAGGCAGAAAATTGCTACATTGTCCAGCTCTCCTCCTTCGTCCCCAGCATGAAATGTGCGGATGGATGGCCACTCAGGGAGACCCCCCTGAGAGGAAGGGCTTTGGATCCTGGCTCTTCAACTGCAAGGGAGCCTAAACATTTCTTTTATCGAGGCACTGCGCGTGGCTCTCCATTTCAACCTTACAACAACCCTGTAAAGTAGGTTAGAGACCCAGAGGCTGTGGCCGAGCCAAGGTCACCCAGTGAGCTTCGGGGCCGAGAGAGGATTCGAACACTGCTCTCTCCCACGTCTTTGTCTGAGACTCCTCGAATCACAGCACCAGGAGGAGGAAGGGCTGGGATGAGAATGGGAAGGGAGCATACAACCCTCAAGCCAACATTTGGCGACTTACAACGCAATCCTATATTTCAGGTCATGAGTTAAACGGGCTGCGCTTAGGGCTGGAGTCTGATTCAGCTGTTGATTGGCTGCTTTGCCTAGGATTTGTCCCCCAACCTCCAGTGTACAGTGGTACCTCAGGTTACATACGCTTCAGGTTACAGACTCCGCTAACCCAGAAATAGTGCTTCAGGTTAAGAACTTTGCTTCAGGATGAGAACAGAAATCGTGCAGCAGCGGCACGGCGGCAGCGGGAGGCCCCATTAGCTAAAGTGGTGCTTCAGGCTAAGAACAGTTTCAGGTTAAGAACGGACCTCCAGAACGAATTAAGTACTTAACCCGAGGTACCACTGCATTTGGATTAAGCAAGCGCCAAGATCCAAGTGCCATAATCAACTCACAATTATTTGGCCTGGGCGTTTTTACAGGAGACAAAACAGTCCCCACTTGAGCCTTTAAAGCAGTCGTCCCTGGGGTTAAGCAAGTGCTTAACTGATCAACAAAGAGGTTCTGGGGTCCCTTTTGGCTTCCCTCCTGATCCTAGCTTGTTTGTAGGCTGTGTGGAAATGGGAAAGCGCTTTGTACATGCTCGAGGGACATTACAATGAGGAACAATTCACCAGGGGCGTGGGGTGGGTGTTGCTGCCTTCCACCACCAAGCCCCTCTTCCTCTCCCCAAAGGCCTGGATGTTTCTAAGTAGGCAAAGCGCATGATAACAAATCTGTCCTTAAAGCGGGACCTGAAAGCCGTTTGATGCAAGCAGATCCAAATGCCTGTATCCCGCCCTCCATCTCTCTGCAAGCCGCTACCCTCTCCTCCACCCTCCACCACTTCCCTCCCCTTTGCGGGGGAGGTTCCCCAGCCTGAATGGACCCATTGAAATGGAAAAACGACTCCGGAGATAAAATGCCACCTCCTTGGTGCAGGGAGGGCAGAGGATGCAGGATGGGTACGGACCACAGACTGCAAGAGAGGAGGGCGCTCAATTCCTTCCGCAAGGTTGGTGGGTCTGATGCTACAGATGGGAGCAAAAGGACAGGGGGCAGCCTACCTGCCCTCCCTCCCCAGGGTGGAAGGAGAAAAGGGTCCCTTTGCCATGTGTTTTTGCCCAGGGGTTAATGTGTTCCCAAGATCAGCATGGCACCTGTTTCCAATGCCAGGAATAGTTGGAGATTCCCCTGAGCTTATACAGGGAGAAACTGCAAAAAGCCAGTAGTCAATATCTAGACAAAAAAAGATTGTTCTGACCTGAAAGCTCTTCTCCACCCACCCACAATCTCCAGGTGTCTGGCAACTCTCTGTAGGCAGTAGGGGCACCAGCAAAAAATATGGGGGGGCACAGAAGGGGGAAAGTTTATTTCTATGTGGGCAAGTTGTGTTGTGCCCCACATATTAACATCTCTGAAAGATAATTAACAGTCTCTGTTAATGGCAGAAGTCCAGCCACAGGAGGCAGACAAGTGGTGAGAGTGAGATTCTTTGTGGGGGGTGCTTGCCCCTCTGCCCCCCCCCGGCACCACCTATGTCTTTATTCTGTGGTGGAAAGAATGCACTCTGTGTGCACTCAGGAGTCTCTTCATCTCTTCTTGCTTCAGAAGTTGTATACCTTTTTAAAAAAATGGCATTTGAGACAAAAAAATTGTAGTAAGCAACGAATGAATATGTAATAATATGGTATTATGTGATGCAATGTGGTTTAAGTTCCAGAGTTAAGCCTGGCTGATACCTGAAAGGCAGTGCGGTGTAATGGTCAGAGTGTTGGACTTCTAAGTGTTCTAATTTCCTCCCCTTCCATGAAGCTTGGGAATCAGTCCCTGCCTCTCAGCCTAACCTACCTCACAGGGTGGTTGTTGTCGTTGGGATTAAATTAGGAGGGGGAGAACTGTGCATGCCACCTTGAGCTCCTTGGAGGGGGGGGGAGTGGGACTGAAATGTAATAAAATAAATAAATTAATAAATAGATCCCCCCCCCCGTGTGCATTTTCTCAGGTCTCCAAACCCCTCATGGAGAAGAGGAGACGAGCTCGCATCAACCTCTCCCTAGAGCAACTCAAAGCTCTGCTGGAAAAGAACTATTCCCACCAGGTGAGGCTCCCACTTCCCTTGCATTTCCAGGAGAGAGGGAGAGTCAGGGAGCCAGTTTATCTCCATGGAAGCGGGTTACATTTTACTTTGAAAATGACAGAGGCAGGAGCACAAAGGACCCCCTTCTCCTCTTCACCCCTCTCCGTCTTTTTACCTTTTTCATCACACCAGTGTTGGAAGAACGGAGCAGCTCAGTGGTGGAGCACTTGCTTGGCATGCAGAAGGTCCCAGTTTTAATCCCCAATGGTAGGACTGGGGATGTCTCCTGCCTGAAACCCTGGAGAGCCACTGCTAGTCAGTGAGGACAATAACACACTAGATGCATCAATAGTCTGGCTTAGTATAGGGCGGACTCTGATGTTCGTAAGGGCAGAATGGGTTGGGGGTCGGCAGAAGGGAGGCGCTTGGTACATCAGGGGACAGGTGGTGAGACTCCAGTACCCTTGCTTTAGAACCAGCAGCATTGAAATGGGGGTCCATCTCATTCCCCTGAAGTGTAGAGTTCCAGACCAAAACCTGGATTCAAAGCCCCACTCAGCCATGGAAAATCTACTTGGGTGACCTTGGGGGCTAGCCACTGGCTCTCAGTTTAACCCACCTCGCAAGGCTGCTGTGGGGGTTAAATGAGTGGACATGGGATAGAAATGCAATAAATAAGTTACTTCCATCCTTCGTCCCAGCTGAGAGAGAAGCCAACAGGGTTATGGGGGAAGTCATTCACTAAGGGCAGGGCAGGAAGAAATGACCCCAGTAACCCCTTGGCTTTCTTTGGTTTGGTGGGGAAATTGCAGATCCGGAAACGCAAGCTGGAGAAGGCAGACATCCTGGAGCTGAGCGTAAAGTACATGAAGAGCCTACAGCCCTTGGCCCACCAAGGTAAGCCACCCAAATGGAACCATGGAACCCAATTAAGGAAGCATTGGTAGATTAACATTTTAGCTGATTGACATAGGGGAAAGCAACACCTCTAAAAAGATGGATTGCTTCAGCTATAATGCTACACACACTTGGGTCTAAGCCCCCTTGAGTTCAATGGAGCCTACTCCTAAGTAGACATGCACAGGGTTGCACTGTCCCTTGGGTTTCTAGAATGATGTATCAAAGAAGCCATAGTTTCAGAAGAGGCATTCTCTTTCTGCCCACACAGAGGCAGAGATGCCGCTTGCTGTTCACAGTTAGTAGCCATATTTTTTAAAATAAATAAAAAAAGTTGGGTTTTTTTGTTTTTAAAAGTCTGCTGACTGATCATTCAAGGACACATTTTCATTAAAACAAAACAAAACGTACTGCAGTTGATTAACCGACTAATTGACCAAACACTACAAGTGCTAGCAAATTGTAACTGATCATCAGACCATCACAGTTCTGAGCAAAAATAAAAAAGGAAGATCAGCTGGAGTCCTAGCAGAGTGTTTTTACACAATCGACTCTTGCAGGACACAAATTAATAGCGACCAGGTGGCTCCCCAGGTTTTATTGGGGTACAACTCCCATCATTCTTGGCTGTTAGCCTGAGGCTACTGGGAGTTGAAGTCCAGAGACGTCTGAAGGGCCCCAGGTGAACCTTCACTGCCTCTGACAAGAGCAGCTTCTGATAATTAACCTCTAGTGGTTCCCAAAGTGGGCAAGAACACTCTCTATGGGACAGTGGGATTAACTGGGGGGCAGGGGCAAGGGAGTGGGGTGGCAGCACTGGAAATGTAAAATACTACCAGACTTTGGAAAGCTGGATCTAGCTAATTAATTTTGTTGAATTAGCGAAACCAATTAGTTTTAATTTGATTTTGAATCAATGCACAATTAATTGCTCCTGTTCTGAATTTTATTCTTCCTCAGTGGGTCGTGCAAACAGATATTCTGAATAATGCTTTGTATAGAGTAGGGGACAATGCGGGTGAGTTTATGGAACCAAGAGGGCGGTAGCCTGAAAAAGTTTGCGAGCCACTGGCTTAAGCCTTAAAGAGTGGTCATCTCCCCTATCTTGACTCCTGGAGCGCGAGTGGGACTGGGAGCGTAAGCGGCTCAGTCTCCATCCGACTTCCCGACTTCTTTCCTCCTCCAGGGGTGCCGCTGACCAAGAGCGCCGATTACCAGGCCGGTTTTCGGAGTTGCCTGCAAGGAGTGCGCCAGTTCCTGCTGCGCTCCGAAGCGGCCAGCGAAGCTTCCTGCTCCTCTTCCTTCCAGCTCCTGCACCAGCTCGCCCGAGTTCTGCCCATGGCCGCTGCCGGAGGCGTCTTCAGCACCACGGACAGCGACCCGCAGGCGGCGCCCCCCAAAGCCCGGCTGGCCGCGCTGGGCAGCCCCGGGGGGCCGACGACGACGACTCTCAGAAAAGCGAGGCCGCTGAAGAGCCGAGGGTGCGAGGCCTCCTTCCCCGCGGTGGGAGGCCGCAACCAGGCGGGGAGCGATCGGGGCCAGAGCGGGCAGCCGCTTCCTGAGCGGAGCCAAGAGCTGTGGCGGCCTTGGTAAGAAACCGGTGCGCCCTGGCCGTGCGCTCTTGCCGTGCGCTCTGGTGCTGCGTCTCCATTTCGGCCTCCGCCTGCGCGCTAGGTTGGGACTTGCCATGCTATGTACATTTACATGAGAGTAAACCCCACTGATCTCCATGGCGCTTACTCCCGAGGAAACACGCATGGGCTCCGTGTGTGGCACTCGTCCTAGAACGCTGTAGGCACCACGGTTTGCTTGAGGGGCTGGGAGGGGGCCTTTGAAGACTGGCGGAGAGACTATTTCTCGAGTTCTATGAACGCTGTGGACCCACAAGGGATACTTTGCTCTTCCTTAAAATGCGTAAGCTGGGTGGTTCCGATCCAGACCCTAAAGGCCCAGAGTCCGGGTTCCAACTGAACAAAGCGTTTAGTTTCAACGAAGACCTGGTTCTGTCTGAACTGAGCCCCCATTCTGTGTTGGGCACCAGATTCTGGCGCTTTAAAAATCCTTCCTAGCCCCGTGCCCCTATTTTGTATTAAAATTGGGCGGGGAGACAACGCAAGAAAAACAAAACCTGTCAGAAAAAAACGTTTTCACCATGGACAGAGAGGCAGTGGAAAAGAGGAGGTTTCACCTGTTGGATTCCTGCCCATTGCAAAGCTGTTAAAGGAACATACCCCCCTACATTGGAAGGGAAGGAAAATGTAGCTTTTACGACGTTGACTTTTCTATCAATAACTCCTGTTTCTTTTTTAAACTGTTTCTTAATAAAACTAGTGTACAGTTACTTTAAAACAATGTAATAACTTTAATAATAAATAAATAAATAAAAAATTGCCTTACCCCAAACTTGGTGTGGGTCTCCTCTTTTCCACAATTCAGAAGGCTAGAATCAGCTACTGGTGCATCCCTCAACTTCTGCCCTAGGTTACTGCTTGAACCCTGCCACCTGTGTGATGTAGTGACAGCCCCCAACTTGGGTGGTTTTCAATGGTGGACCAGGCTATCATTTGCCACTAGCTCCCATGTCAGAGGCAGCTTCCCAGATATGAGTTGCTGGGGAGTCAGCTCCTGTTACGCTCAAGTCATGCTTATGGACCTTCTTGGCCACTGTGAAAACAGGATGCTGGACTAGATGGGCATGATCCATCAAGGCTCTGCGAACCCAGCCCCCAGAGAGGAGGGCACTTGTTGCAACTCTGCATGAGTCACCATTCTAGGGTTTTCTTCTTTGCACTTTCTAAAGCTAATATGTGATTTCTAGCTACTTCTCAGCCTGTGGCCAGTGCCTATAAAATGCAAAGGAGCTCACAGTTTCCCCTGTGAATAGACACCATAGAGTTTAAGGCCTTTTGCAAACTATGCATACTTGGGATCAGTTGCAGTACCCAGAGTGCAATCCTATCATTTTCTCCCCCATCCTTCCTTAACCTTACATTGATGAGAAAGAGAGCAATCCCCAGCCTGTACAATTGTCCCCAATCCTTATTCTAGGGGAAGGAAGAAACCCACCAACAATTGCTGTGGAACGTGTTGAAATGGCCTCATTGAAAGGGCCAGGAGTTGGAGTTAATTCCTTGTCTGTCACAGCAGAATCAAGCTTATTCCTGAGTGTCAAAAATAAAGGAAGAGGAGAAACCTTCCCTTAACGATTTGAAGCTCCCTGTGGGGCTTTTTTTATACGAGGTGCTAATTACGGTTAAGATTGAGGGGGATTTACAAAGGGCACTTGGAGATGGTTGCTGATTAACTGGGTCATTCAGTCAGCACCTGAAGCCATTAAGGTTCATTTGACTCAGAGGGGGTGTTGCATTTCCCATCCTGCTTTCAGAGGCTTCTCTTTGGAGAATCTGGCTGGCTGCTGTGAACAGATGCTGTTGAGCTAATTGGGCCCTTGGCTTGATCTAGTAGCAGGACTCAGACGAGGTCCTTACGAGCTCATATAGCAGGGGAGGGACTGTATCTTCATGCATAAGAAATAACCTCAAGGGTGTTAGGCTCAGCCAGGAAGTGGGTTGCTTTACCTTTTGGAAGATTCGTGGGCTTCTGTTAAGGTAAAGGGACCCCTGACCATTAGGTCCAGTCGTGGCCGACTCTGGGGTTGCGGCACTCATCTTGCTTTACTGGCCGAGGGAGCCAGCGTACAGCTTCCGGGTCATGTGGCCAGCATGACTAAGCCACTTCTGGCAAACCAGAGCAGCGCACAGAAACACCGTTTACCTTCCCGCTGGAAGGTAAACCTATTTATCTACTTGCACTTTGACGTGCTTTCAAACTGCTAGGTTGGCAGGAGCAGGGACCGAGCAATGGGAGCTCACCCCGTTGCAGGGATTCGAACCACAGACCTTCTGATCGGCAAGTCCTAGGCTCTGTGGTTTAACCCACAGCGCCACCCGCGTCCCTGGGCTTCTGTTAGGCAGGTATTAACACCCCAGCTTTCTATGACTGCTTCAAACCCAAGGAATTTGGGTGGGTGCCTGTGATGCCCTTGCCAACCACTAGGTGGGAGTGATTCCATGCAAAATTCCAGCTGTTTGCCAAACGAGAAGCGCATTAAAAATCAAGGAGCCATTTCCTTCGTTTCCCCAGTCTTAATGCTACTACTAAGCCATGCTTAGCAGCAGCTGCTGAAACCTCCCCACTCTTCTCTCCTTCCGTTCTGCTACTGGGAACCAGATTTCACAACCCTGTGGAAAGGACAGAGGACCAGAGATTGGGAAAAGTGTTTATTTTACACCAGATGGGGTTGGACTCCAAGCTCCAAGAAGACCCAGTGTAGCCTTGGTGAGGGATGTTGTGAGTTGCAGTCCAGCAACATCTGGAGAGCCACAGGCTCCCCACCTTTGATGAAGATGTTTAAACAGCATGGGGGAGCCTCGAGGGACATCCATAGGTTAATGGGTCAATGCATTGGACAACAGTCCACTGGGCCCCTTAGGAAAGACCAGAACTAGCACCAAGCTTCAGGTGGGTAGCCGTGTTGGTCTGACGCAGTTGAAATATATATAAAAAATAAAAAAAATTGTCCAGTAGCACCTTAGAGACCTTAGCAGCAAGCTGTGCTCCTCATCCTAATCCTGGTCACATTTGGGTAAGGTGAGCCTGAAAAATCTCATCAAGAAAAGGAAAGGAAATTACAGGAGGGGAGAGTGCTCTTGTGCTTAAATCCTGCCTGCTGCTTTCCCTCAGGCATCTGGTCTGCCACTGTGAGAACAGGATGCTGGACTAGATGGGCAATTGGCCTGATCCTGCAGGCTGCCTTTGTGCTTATCAAGCTTTTGTCTTACTGCCAGAATGACTCAATGAAAATCAGGTCCAAGAAAAAGAAAACATCCAATTCTAAAAAAAGAAAAGAAAAAAGAGGGGATACTTTCCATTGGTAAATTCAGACAAGCAGGCATTTTTACATACTGTATTCGCCAGAATATCAAACTGGAGGGAAAATCTGATAAGGTGGGACCTTTTAGTGCTGGATACCATCACAGGACAGCAAATGGGCCGGTTTAATTTTCGATAATTTTACTTCCAGGATGCATCATTTGGATGTTCTGCCCCCTGCAACCAACATTTGGGTTGCCTGAATGTAAACTCCAGGCCCAAGGCCTAAACGCAGGCTGGTTCCCTGGACATAAACCAAAGACTGTCCTTGTGGCAATTTCACAAATGGTTTCTTAGGTTTTGGAACTCATTGCCACCAGAGATGGTGACTGCCACTAGCTTTGATGGCTGTTCAAGAGGATTGGACCACTAGATGGAAGAGGAAATTGGCATGCTGGCATACCCTCCAACATTACTCTGATGAAAATAGGGATGTCGTCAATAATAATAATTTTATTATTTATACCCCGCCCATCTGACTGGTTTGCCCCAGCCACCTTGGGCAGCTTCCAACGAATATAAAAACATAATAAAACATTAAACAAAACTTTCCCATACAGGGCTGCCTTCAGATAGTTACTTATCTCCTTGGCTTGGGGGGCTTGCCTAACTCCATACCCTCCAACATTTCTCTGAAGAAAATAGGGACATCCTAAGGAAAAGTGGGACATTCTGGGATCAAATCAGAAACCAAGATGGCTTCTGTAAACCTGAGACTGTCCCCGGAAAATAGGGACACTTGGAGGGTCTGCACTGGTTTTGGCTTCTGTTGTCTAGTCCCCCTTCAGTAATTTGAAGAGATGTAGCTTACTCCCCAATCCTGGTCTCTTTTCCAAGCTAAAAATCCTCAGGATATTAGATTAGACCAGTGTTTCCCAACCTTTTTTGGGCAAAGGCACACTTGTTTCATGAAAAAAATCTCGAGGCACACCACCATTACAGCCCCGTGACGTCAGCGCGCAGCGTCACGCCGGGAGGGACATGAATTGCTAGCAAATTACATAATCACCTCCTTGAGGGCTGGCTCATCTTCTCCGAAGGCAGAACCCCATTAATTAACAGCACAGACTCACACCATAGCCAAGACGAGGGGGGAAAACCTCAGTCATGCACAGTCATGCACATGTGGGGGCTAAATGAGGACGAAGACCGGGCAGAGAGCAGGGTTCAAATCACCCCACCTGGCCAGGACAATCCCTGGGTGCTCCCTTGGGCCACTCGCCTGACCCACCTCGCAGGGCTGTTGTTGCGAGGATAACACAGGGAGAACCACGCGCGCCCCCGGGAGCTCCTTGGAGGAGAAAGCGGGCAATGAATGCAATGCACGAAATATATGAGAGGCGACCAGGTTTTGCAGGTGAGGGGCCCCCGCCAGCCTCCGCTTCCAACACCCGGCGCAACGACGCCGAAGTTTCCCCCCGGGCTCGGCTCGGGGAGCAGCGCTGCTCCCCCCCGGCTCCCCTTCGCCCTCCCAGCTCTCTCTGCCGCCCACTGGGGACCCCCCTCACCTGCCAAGTCCGGAGCGCCGGTGGAAGTTGCATGCATGCATGCAGGGCGCCGCGTTGCCATTGCATTGCACTGCACTCCATGCAACGCCTGCACGCATGCATTGCCTTGCACGCCCGCCAAGGGGTCTCCCCGCGGTCCGATGCATCCCCTCCGGCGCGGATGCAGCATTGCAAAAATTAAAACCCCCCGACGCAGCCCTACCTGGGGGGCAGCCTCCGCCTCCGCCGCTCCGCCTCCGCGGGGATCCCCGGGCTCCATCCTGCCGCCCGATCTCCACGGGGGCGCAGGCAGGCTGCGCGGGGTCTGCGCGGAAGAGCCCCTGCCCGCCCGGCCGCCGCCGCTGCGCTCATTCCATGGCCGGGAGAAGAGCGCTTCAAACAAAACGCCCGGCCCGCCAGGCCACACTGGGAAACGTAGTTTGCGCACCCCGCGCGGGCGCGGAGCCCAAGGGCGAGGGACTACGGATCCCGGCAGCCCCCGCGCCGGGACGGAGGGGGAGAGGCCGGGTGCAGGGATGGAGGGACGGGTGGGCGAGCGAGTGAGTGAGTGGCAGCCGCCAAGCCTTGGCCGAGAGCCAGGAAGGGCCTCCCCGGAGGAGGAGGAGGAGGGAGGCGCAGAGCGGGAGGAAGGGAGGGAACCCCAGGGGTCATCTAGTGACGGCGCCCCAATCGAAAATTTGACTTAAAAAAAAAAAATCTTTCAATTTTTTAATTTTTCCCGCGGCACACCAGGCAACATCTCGCGGCACACTAGTGTGTCGCGGAACAGTGGTTGGGAAACACTGGATTAGACCAATGTTCACTAACCTACTGTCCTACCGAGGTTTTGGACCACAAATCCCATCAGCCCCTGCCAGAATGGGGAGGGGCTGTAGCTCAATGTTAGAGCATCTGCCTTGCATTCAGAAGGTTCCAAGTTCAATCCCCAACAGCTCCAGGCAGGGTTGGGAGAGTCTCCCTGCCTGAAATCCTGAAGAGCCACAGCCAATCAGTGTAGATGATACTAAGCAAAGATGGACCAATGGTCTGACTTGGTAAAATGCACTTCCTATGTATTTCTGTGTGTTCCTTTTTTGGACTACAACTCCCATGAGCCCCAGCCATTTTGGACTACAACTTCATGCTCGCTGAAGTTGATGGGAGTTGTAGTCCAAAACATCTGGAAGGCACCAGGTTGGATTAGGTAGGCTTGCCCTTGGGTGGGTTTGTGTTTTTTTGGTAACTAAAAAGAAGGCCAATGAGGTTTAGAGACAAAGAAAATAACAGACAGGTTTTTGTTTTTGTTTTTAATTTGGTCTTTACGAGAAAGGAACCCTCAAAGTGGTTGGAAAAAAAGAGCAAACTACAAACAGTTTGGAAAAACCGATGAATAAAACTTTTTTTTTTTTAATCTGGTTTCGAGACAAATCCAGACACAAATCAGAAAGTTTGTCTTTGCACAGAGTGGAACGTCACCAAGAGAAAGGGACAGAACACAAAACAGAAATGGAGTCCTTTTCGGAGCTGGCCGAGAGAAGCCTCAGCGCTGGAATAAACACTCCCCACCCCAACCCCGTGGTCTTCTAGCAGTAGAAAGGTATTGCCTGGCTGGGCCTATGAATTTCAGCCTCCGGCATAGTATTCTTTATTAAGGGTGCCAAGGTGGTGAGTTTTTTCTTTAAAAAAGTATTATTTCCCAAAAGGTCAGTAAAAACATGGGATCTGGTTTCTGAGATACGGTGAACCTCCCAACGGGTTTGGAAAAGTATTGCCTTGTGACACTACAAAGAGTTAAAAAGATACAGTACAACAAAAGGGTTAAGCATCTCATCTTGCTCACCCCACCTCTTACCTGACTGCTTTCTGCAAAAAAGAAATCCAATATAGGCTCATCAACGGGACTATTGATGTTCATCAGATATTAATTACCAGCATCGTTATTGTCAAACCCTTAAAAGGCACAACATCCATAATATATTTGTGGGGAGGTGGAATATCAAGTGGTTGGAATAATAATAATAATAATAATAATGAAAAAACAGTGCCCCAGAAGTCTGTTGGTCACGCCACAGCGACCAAGAAGTCTGTTGGTCACACCACAGAGAGCCATGGCTGTTTTCCTGGCACAACATATTTTTCCCTGTGGGGGGGGGGGAGGGAGGGAGGCAGTTTTGTTCCAAAGGTGCAACCTCTACAGTGAGCCTTCAAATAATTACTGCTTCCTACGACTTTGGACATTCAATGGCGGACGCAGCGAAAGAGCCCCTTTCTGGAAACCACAGCCCAAACTGACTGATCTCCTCTCAGCAACTGGCATCCTTCTCCCCCTTGCAAACCCACAATGCAGGGCGGGGGGGACGGGACCCCATCCTGTGGCCTGTGCGAGAACAAACTACACTTGAGATGAAGTGAGGGACCATCACAATTCCTCTCAGCTACTCTTTTTGACACAGGCGCTGCTGCTGCACCGGTTCAGACGCGAGTTAGCATCTGTAAGCATGAGCACTAGAAGCATGCTTTTTCAGCGCTGCTGTTGTTTTTCAATAAAAGGAAGAAAAGCCACGGGGAAGGATGTGCACTGAGCACTTCTGGGCCCTGGAACCTGCCTTTTGAGATGTTTTGCCCTGATCCCTCCCCCTTTGTGGATTTCATAGCGATGGGGTGAGGGGAATAAATCTGCTACAATGATTAAAACAGTACAAGTTTCAAAGTGCAACCAATCCCACCCAGCCCCACCCCAAGATGTTTTTGAACCCTCCACATCCCCCACACCACAAATACAGGCATGCATAACAACCCCTTCCTTGACCTATGAGGAAAATGCTCATCCTCCCAAAGGCCCCATATTTATTCTTAAAGCGCTGGGGAATAAATTATGAATGATGGCAACCTACATTTTGGAAAGCTGTCTCCAGATTTGGCACCCAAGACAGGCGACCATCCTAAAACAGATTGGGGTAGGGGGTGGGGTGGGGGCACTTGAACCAATGCATCAACTCTCCACTGCTGATTTCTTTTTCAAGTTGTGGACCATATGATGGCAAACAGGCAAGCCATTGTTTGTTCCTGTATCTCTCAAACATTTGTATATGTACAGTGGTACCTCTGGTTATGTACTTAATTCATTCCGGAGTTCCGTTCTTAACCTGAAACTGTTCTTGACCTGAAGCACCACTTTAGCTAATGGTGCCTCCTGCTGCCGCTGCACGATTTCTGTTCTCATCCTGAAGCAAAGTTCTTAACCTGAGGTACTATTTCTGGGTTAGTGGAATCTGTAACCTGAAGCGTATGTAAGCGGAGGTACCACTGTAATAGCAATTGCATTGCTGCCCCCACCCCCAATACCAATGCAGTACCGTAATTCTTTTCAGGGATTGTGACCGAAAGGATGCAAATTTGCATTTTGTGTCTTATGTTTAACTTCAATTTCGTCGCATTGTCTTTCTTTATTTCTCCACTCCTTGTATGTTATTGAAGTGTATGTCCTTTCTTAAATAATCCAAAATCCAAAAGGGAAAAATAAGGAACACCCATCAGGTTTCAGTGAGATGAGAACGTTCCTCCACAGCACAGGATTATAGCTCTGTTATCAAGGCAGCATCTGCCTCGGATGTGGGGGGACGCTCAAATAAATAATCAATTATTTAAAGTGGTACAGCCTGCTCTCCACCTCTGGACTCTATCATCTCATTCTGCTCTGCTTGCAGAAGGTCCCAGGTCCAATCCTGACAGCATCTCCAAGTGGGGTGCAGAGAATGTCCCCTATGCCTGAAACCCTGGAAGAACCATTGTTGCCACTCAGGGTGGACAATATACTGAGTGAGATGAACCAGTTTGGTCTCAGCGCAAAGCAGTGTCCTAGGTGTAGATCTGCCCAGCGAAGGGATGAAAACAGCCATGGACAATGTGGGTTGATTTCAAAAGCTGTGTGCAAATAGGTTTTGAAGAGGAAGGAAAAGGGGCACCTCATATTTCTGTCTGCTCTTCAGCAGCTAAAAGGCACAGATCCCCCATTTCTGCTGCTCCAGGGAGTAGGGCCCGCACCATGGGATAATAATAATAATAATAATAATAATAATAATAATAATAATAATAATTTATACCCCGCCAATCTGGCTGGGTTTCCCCAGCCACTCTGGGCGGCTCCCAAACAGATTATTATTAACAATAATAATAATAATAATAAAGCGATAAAACTTCAAACATTAAAAGCTTCCCTAAGCAGGGCTGCCCTCAGATGTCTTCTAAAAGTCAGATAGTTGTTTATTTCCTTGATGGGAGGGCGTTCCACAGGGCGGGCACCACCACCGAGAAGGCCCTCTGCCTGGTTCCCTGTAGCTTCACTTTTCACAGTGAGGGAACCAGCAGAAGGCCCTCGGAGTGGGACCTCAGTGTCTGGGCTGAACGATGGGTTGGAGATGAGAAAGGAGATTCTGATGAAGAACATTCTGATGGCAAGAGCTGTTTGACAGCAGAATGGACAACCTCAGAAGGTGGTGGAACTCTCCTTCCTTGGAGGTTTCTAAGCAGAGGTTGGATGGCCACCTGTCATGGATTCTCTAGCTGCGGTTCCTGCACCGCACTAGATTGGACTTGAAACATTGGCAAATCCAGCCATTAGCTGAACGTAAACAAGCACTGAATCTGGTTCTATCTTAGCTCAAGGAAGCTTCTCGTGACTCCACTGGGAGAACCTCCTGCCCCAGAGGGAGGAGACTGTTTGACTGAAGACAGTGCATCTGAAAGCAAAAATGTTGAGGACTCTACAAATACTAACTCCCTCCCTCCCCTCCCTTCTCCACTTGCCCTCATTCCTTTCCCGGGCATCTATTTCCCTAAAGCAAACCTTTTTGTCTCCCCTGCTACCAAGACAACATCACACACACAGTCGTGCACGCAAGACGGAACTCAAGCAGGAAACTTTGTGCTGACCCTAATGGTCCTAACATTAACTTGCCCCATGCTTAACTGGAAAAGTGACAGTGGCCAGGGGTTCAAAGCAGCCTGAAAGAGAGGCCCAGTCTCCCCACCCTGCCACCCCGTAATGTGCTTTCAAATAAATAACTGGGAGTGAACTCTTTATTTTTGCTGCTGGGGCCAGATGAACTTCCACTTCCCACCAGCTCATTTTCAAAGAGCAGCATGGGACTGTTTACAAAGGGGCTTTCAAACAGCCCTGTGCTGTGCTTTGAAGTCCCAACAACCAACTGGGCCTTCAAAGCACAGTGGCATAGTGATGTCAGGTGATTGGCAGGTGGGCAGCCACTCCCACCAGTCAAATTTGGCCCACCTGGGATGGGGAGATAAGGATCCAGCCCAAGGGCTAAAAAAGATTCCTTCCCCGCCAGTACCAAAGACATGCCACCCACCCTACATACAGAAAAACCAGAAAGGTGACGATCCCCTCCCATCATTTTCCAACCCAGCAGGCTGAAGACAGAAGCCCCAGGTGCAACACTACAATTTGAATGACGCATGCAGGTGGTGCTCCAGGCCACACAGCAGGGGTGCTGCAGCGATGCCATGATTTTGTCTTTAAAAAAAATATCACTAGATGTTCCTGGGGCTCAGGAGAGAACAGGAGGATGGGTTGCAGCTTTGGCCCTTAACACTGTGCCTGTCGTGCTTTTTCGCCCCTGGAGAAACGCCCATTGCAGGGGGTTAGATTAGATGACCCTAGAATCATAAAGCACAGTTTCTACCTGCAATCTGCTGCTTCAGATCAGACCAGAGGCAGCAAATCAACCCATGGTGTGGGTGGCAGGGCTTTGGCACTGGAAAGGTGGTGGTGGCGGTGGTGAAATCTCCATCCTGTGGGCCAAAGCTGCTGCCTTGAGTCCCAGGAACAGAGGGGAGAAAGCCCCAAATGCCAACATAGACTAAACCCTTATTCCAGCCTAATATTGTTGGACTCCAAGTCCCAGCAGCCAGTTTAACCAACAGTTTCTTCTCTCTCCTTGCCCATCAGCTGCCAGGCTAGATTCCACAGGGACCTCATCCTGCAACACCCTACGGTTCAGGGGATGGAGCATATCAGCACGGAGCTTTGCACCTGCCTCAAACCCTTTGCTTGTGCAGTGATATCATGGACAAATGGAACACAAACACACAGCTCTTGTCCCTCAAACCAGGACTGATGGAGGAAAGGGGAACACAGACTGCTTTGCCACCTTGCCAAAAGCCTCCTCCGAGAAATTCGGTGACCCCCCACCCCCACCCTTTTGCAAGCCCGTAGCATCGCGGGGTCATTTGATACAGAAAACTCATGCACAACTTTACATTGTCTTAGAAAGTAGCAGGTGCGGGACACGGGATTATTAAAAAAATGGAAAATTCCTGATCGGGCCCAGCTAGCGGCTGCAGCTGGAAGTAAGGAAGGAAGAAGGAAAGGGGAAAGTGCACCCCACCGCTCTTCTGCTGGCGAGGTCTGGTTCAGCCAAGAGGGACATGGGTCTCCAAGTTGCTCCGCTGCAGCTCCCGAGTCCTCAAATCATCCTGGCCGCCCTCCTCCTTCTCCTCCATCCTCCTTTTTTGCAAAACACACAAGAGAGGCTGGAGTTTTGGTTTCTTTGGTGCTGTGCCCAGTCCTCTTTAAATAAACAACAAAAGCCTGGACCACGAAGAGGAGAAGACTTTTCCCGAGAGAAAGAGAAAACTGAACGGGACCCGCCAGTGGATTCTGGTGCTTTATGCTTCTAGGAGCTTGAACCCATGGAATCCGAGTGGTACGTGGCATACCCGGAGGAGGCCGAGGGCGTGCTCAGGAAGCTGCTGGTGCTGCCCTTGCTTCCGCCCTTCTGGAGCTCCTCCTGGCCCCCCCAGGAGGGGCTGAGGCCTGTCCGGAAGCCCTCTGGCTCGGAGCAGCAGCTGCTGGCTGGGCGTTCCTCAGGAGCTTCGTACAGCTGGATGCGGATCTGCTCCAGGCACGGGGAGCCGGAGCTGCCTTTAGGGAAGAAGTTCTTGGTATCCTCCTGGGCCAGGAAAGGGCCTGGGACCATCAGGGAGCACCCCCGGCCTTGGGCCGAGAGGCGCCGCAAGCCCTGAGGTTCCCGCTCAAAATTGGTCAAGGGGAAGTTGGTGAGGTTGGCCGAGCAATGGCGGAACGTGTCCGGGATGAGGGAGACGGATGCAGAGCGCAGAGGGCCCTTCCTGGGGCTGGGCAGGGGGCTGGTGTTGATGAAGTTCACCCCTTCCTCCTTGCTGAAGCACTTGTAGCCTCCGGGCCCCCCGCCACTGCCGCCGCCCTTGTAGTAGTCTTCCGGAGGGAAGGGCCTGAGGGACAAGGTGCTCTCGGCGGACTTCCGGCGCCTGCGGTGTGGGTGCTGCCCTTCCTCTTGATAGGACAGGAGGCTGCTGCTGCTCCTCCGGCGCTCATAGCCGTGCCCCCGCGGGAGGAGGAGCTGGGCCAGGCTGGCGGCCATGTCCCCGCTGGCCCCCCAGTGCTGGAGGTAGGCCGAGATCTGGCTGGTCGTCCAAATGTCTGTTTCGTCGTGGGAGAAGCGCCGGGTGGGGGGGACCTGCGGGAGGAGGAATGGAGAAGCTTCAGAGTGATTGCCGCTTCTGCACTGGGTTCAAGGGCTCTCAAAGGCCACATTCACACTGTACCATTGAAGCACTGCGATACCACTTAGAACAGTCATGGCTTCTCCCAAGGAATTCTGGGAAGGGGACGGAGAGTTGTTTGTAGGCCCCTATTCTCCTCACAGAGCTACAACTCCTTGTGAAGAGGGATTGGTTGTTTCACAACTCTGGGAATTGTAGTTCTGTGAGAGGAATGGAAGGGGCCTCCTAACAGCTCTCAGCACCTTTTACAAACTACCCTTCCCAGAATTCTTCTGGGGAAGCCATGACTGTTTAAAGTGGTATCATAGAGCTTTATATGGAAGGCGTGAATGTGGTCCTGGAGCACCCACAGGTTAGCCACCCCTGTTCCACAATTTCTCTGGCAGGTGCCTTAGAAAGGGTTCTTGGAGCTGTGCAAGACAACACATTTGAACCATTATTCCGCTTTAAACAGTCATGTCCTCCCCCCAGAGAATTCTGGGAACTGTACATCTCTCAGTCGGTAGAGCATGAGACTTGTGGATTCGAGCCCCACATTGGGCAAAAGATTCCTGCAGTGCTGGGGTTGGACTAGATGACCCTCGTGGTCCCTTCTCTGAAGTAGGTGAATGGAACTTAACTCCAGGACCGAGCAGTCTCAATCCATGATAAGTAAGCTGCAACGTAACACCTCTAATGTTTCTGAGCTTCTTTTCACACCATCCACAGTTGACAGGACTCGGCAGATGGGAACTGGGACTTAGAGATGTACGCATGGTTTTTTAAGACAGCTGAAAGCGAAAAGCAGCCAGAGGGGAGGAATGGGCCTTGTGTGGGGTGGAAGGAGGGGCAGAGCAGCACCATCACTGCTAAAGAACACAGAAGTGCCATTACATTAGCTGTGATTCCTACATTACAGCGGGTTGGACTACATGACCTTTGGGGTGTCCCTCCCAACTTGACAATTATATGATTACCTTTTCCCCATTCTCCTCCCTGGTAGGTGGTAGAAAGCAGTTACACTTTTCACTTCTCCTGTTCACTGGGATGCAACACAAACCCTCTGCAGCTCAGTGGTTAGAGCACCTGCTTCCCATTCAGAAGGACCCAGTAAAGCTGGAAAAGATTCCCTGTCCGAAAACCCAGAGACCTGCTGCCAGTCAGTGGAGGTGTTACTAATCTAGGTGGGCGAGTGATCTGACTCAGTATTTTAAGGCAGCTACCTGTATCCCCCGCTTACCTGCAGATACTGCATCTTGTCCTCTGGGGGAGGCTTTGTAGGGTAGGCTTGGGGGATGCCCCTCTCCAGGGCTGAGAGGTCGTATTTGGCAATGTGGTCCAAGGTCAGGGCATCCCCAGCAAAGTTGTAATCGTAGGGCCGCTCATACATCAGGTCTGTATGGATCACTCCATCCAGGCTGTTTTCTGCAGTCCCAGAGGAAGCAAAGCTGCATTAAAAAGGGTGGGGTGGGGTCCACTGCTAAGAACCTTGGACGAAGGGGTCGGGGCCACAGCCATGAAGGACCCACTCCTCCAAGATGTCAAAGCCCACCTCTCTAATTTCTTTTTTTGGGGGGAGGGGGTTTCCTTTGTGGGGGGGGAGTAAGCAGCAAGTTTCTCCTCTTTCACATTGTGTGGCAGGACTTTGGAACTCCCTGCCTAATGATATCAGACAGTCTCCTTCGCCAAACTCTTTCCGGAACCTGCTAAAAACAAGCCTGTCCAGTTATATAGGATGTTGGCATGTGCTCCGATCCATTTTTTTATTGCAGATTTTCATTCTTTTCTGAATGTTTTAAGTAGCTGCTGCCTTTCTAAAACTGTTTTCAATGATAATTCTTATTGCCTTCTTCCTTTTCTTAAACCACTCTGAGGTCTTGGTTTTTACACCCAAGTGAAATATATAAATTCCAGAAACACCGTAAATAAAACACGTTATGGGGAATACATGGAAGGGAAGGTAGAGTCAGCATTCCACCTGAATGCTCACTACGATATTAGCAGATAGACTATGCTGGAGGGCAGGGATGAATGCGGACAGATATAACCGCACTGCAGGGAGTTGGATTAACTCACCCTTTGGGCCCCTTCCCATTCTCCAATTCACTTGGGCCAGGAGGGGCACATGGAATGCATTTGCTGGCTGCCTTGGGTTTCTTCCTGGTCTTGTCCATCATTTCCTACTGCTCCCAAACATCAGCCTTGCAACTGAAGAGGACTGAGGTTCAGCCAAGATGCTGTCCTCCGTTCACGTAGGAAAGACACAATGCCCAGGACTGGACTGGACTGCCCAAACGCCCTACCTCCAGAATTTGGAGGACTCCCCCCGCAAAAAAGCAATTACCACTCACCTTCCCCCACATCATCATTGGACATGACGACCACACACTTCTCCCAGACAGACTTGATGTCAGCTCGGTAGCGGTCACAAGCCCAGAGGAAAAGTGGGAGCAGGAGGGACTGGACGACCGAGCACCAGAGGACGCAGAGGATCATCCAGTTGTAGGCCACGTCTGACTTCAAACTGGCAAAGCTCACCACCTGCAGGACAAGGCACCAGGGACATCGGTAGGGGCTCCTAACAGGCCCTCAAGACTCTCACGGTGGGCAGTGGGCACATTGGCTGGTGGGGTATCTAATGCAGCCGCATTGTGGAAGCTAAGCTGGTCTCAGGCTGGTCAGGGCTTGGATGGGTGCCTGCCTGCCTGGGACCACCACAGACCCGGACTTGAGTTTCACAGAAAATAGGAAGGGTACAAGTATAGTTTTTTGTTTTTTTAAAAAAAGTCCTTCACGCAGCACATAGCTGAACTGCAGCACTCACTCCCACAGGAGGCAGTGGTGATTTTAAGAGAGAATAAGACAAATTCATGGGGGAGTTGATGGCTCCTATGTTCTGCCTAAGTTAGATGCAACAATGCTTCTGAAAACCAGCTGCTGGAAACCACTGGAGGGGAGAGGGTGCTCTTGCTGGTTTCCCTTTGGAGCACCTGCAAGAACAGGAAGCTGGACTGGATCAGGCCATTGGCGTGATCCAGCAGGCTCTTCTTATGATCTTAAGCAGAGTGCAAGCTGATGGTGGAGCTCCAGAACAGCTTGCATCTGGTGATGGTTTCAAGAGAAAAGGTGAGAGAAGGCAGTAGATGACTGAGCAGATTGGCAGAGCAACATAAGAAGGTTTCTGCTGGATCAGGCCAACTTGGGAGGCCCATCTAGTCCAGTATCCTGTTCTCAGTGTGGCCAACCAGATGCCTGTGTAAAACCAGCAAGCAGGACCCAAGCCCAAGGGCAGCATTTTCCCCTCCTGTGGTTTCCAGCAGCTGGTGTTCAGTAGCATGACTGCTTCTGACTGTGGAGGCAAAGCATAGCCCATTATGGCTAGTAGTCATGGACAGCCACCTCCTCCTCCATGAATCTGTCCAATCCTCATTGAAAGCCATCCAAGTGGGTGGTCAACCCTGTCTCCTGTTGGAGCGAGCTGCATAGCTTAACGAAGAAGGACTTTCTGTCACCTGTCCTGGATCTTGCAGCTTCATCAGATGTTCACAAGTCCCAGTGCCATGAGAGACGCAACTCTTCCCTTTGTACAGAAGGCACATCCTGTGCAAAGGTGTGCACCTTCCTGCTCTACAAAAGGAAATAGGTTTCTACACAGGAGCAAACCTCTCTCTTCTCCATCCAAACAAGCAAGAGGCATCACACATGGAGTCTGTTGAGTCCATCTTGTTCAGCATAGCCTACGTGGACTGGCAGGTTCCTTCTAAGACTGCAGGCAGATATTCTCTCCCAACTTTTTCTGTGGAGCTGGGAATTGGAGTGGGAACTTCTGCGTGCAATGCAGATGGCTCTACTACTGAGCTGTGGCCCTTTCCCAGCTAGGCAGAAGCAGTCAAAGAGGGCGTGGTCAGTAAGGGGGCGTGGCCTGGGCAGAATTCTGAGATCCAGGGGAAAGGTTTCTGCCCCAAAGAGCTTACATTCTCAACTGAGACACAGGTATGTGGTGGTGACACAATGCACAAGGAAGGCATTTAGATTCATATTATTTAATTTTTTAATTTATTCCAAAAGGGAAGGGACTCATTCCAACATTTAGCATTGAAGTCTAGCTGCAAAAAGCCTTTTCTTTCCCCAGTGGAGCACATTTCCTTTTTGCCAGCCTCAGCCCTGTCTGGAGACTCAAAATTGCTGCACGGACATTCAGCCTGTCCAATGCAAAGCCATCCAATTAATAACATCTTTGAATTTAAATTGGGGGCCAGAAGGGTGAGGGTGGTGAGGGTAGATGGGAGGGGAGCCAAAACCGGAACACGTGGACATTTATATCAATCAAGGCTAGAAAACAGAGGTTTTCCCCACTGTTAATCAATGTTTCATTAGCACCCCCAGTGCAAGCCAAATTCAAATTAACTTAATTTGATCTTTATAAATTGAGTGCGTAATGTCTCTCAGCAGAACAGAGCCGTGGCGGTGAATCAGGCTTGAAGTACATGAGGGAGGATTTCGGCGTGCGGGTGGGTGAGTGGGAAGGAGGAGAACCTCATTTCCATTTTTATAAACGAAAAGGAATGGAGGAAGGAAGAGCTACAGAATGATGCTTCCAAGAAGAACAGCCCCCACTACCCAGTCAGACACATCCTACCCCCCCCCACGCTCCTGCTGAAGCTGCCATACGTTTGCAAATTTTGCAGCCATGTGGGTGGAGGGAGTATGGCACAGTGGTTAGATTGCTGGAGAGGTGTGGAATCCCGGTTCAAATCCCCATCCCACCGGAAGTTTCACTGGGTGACCTTAGCCTAATCTCTGTTTCTCTCTCTCAGCCTAACCCTACTGTGGACTTCTCTAACACGCTCAATGTGGGGATGCCATTGAAAAGAGAGCTTCAGCTGGTCCAGAATGCTGCAGCCAGACTGCTGATGGGAACCAACAAGGGAACAGAGACAGCAGTCCCTAGTACAGTGGTACCTTGGGTTAAGTACTTAATTCGTTCCGGAGGTCCGTTCTTAACCTGAAACTGTTCTTAACCTGAAGCACCATTTTAGCTAATGGGGCCTCCTGCTGCTGCCGCGCCACCGGAGCATGATTTCTGTTCTCATCCTGAAGCAAAGTTCTTAACCCGAGGTAATATTTCTGGGTTAGCGGAGTCTGTAACCTGAAGCGTATGTAACCCAAAGTACCACTGTAGTCTAATAACAACAGCAAGCTCACAAAGATTTCACAGTCCAAAGAGGACTCTTTAAAAAGGTAGGTTTTGTTCTCCATTGACTAAGACGAACCCCTGATGGCTCAGATATCACATCTACTCACAGGAAGAGTCCTCTATCCATTTCCATTGCTAGGCCCCATTCCACTCAACTGATTCACAAAGTCTCTTTTGAAAGCCCAAGATCAGGACACGGAGACAAAACCTGCAAACATTCCACTTAGTAATGTTTGCTCAGAGACCCCCTTAAGGTTAACATCTCAGCAACGCTCCCTTCACCGTGATGCCCAAGCCAAGAGAGCTCTTCCATGACATCGGAGCAGCTAAGCCAATGGCAGCCCAAGCTGGCTGCGACGCCTCCCCTCCCTCTCTCCATCCTGACTGCTTGAGGGTGGACAGCACTGTCATCCGCAATTGTAAGAGTTTTAGAGATGAAAGAGGAGTGAACTGCTGAATTTCACTCTGTCTTTTAGGGTGTAAAATGCAGCAGAGAATCTCCCACCCCAGTTCTTCCCTTGAGGCCCAGCACCTTTTCCAAGCGCACACATCAAAGGAACACAGAGTTCTTTCCACCCGCTCAAATTGTACATCCTTTCCCCCTCCCTCCTGGCCTCCAGGGAATGAGCAATCTGAAAAGAAATTCTGTTGCTGTCCAGCCTCACCACCCTGGCTGCTAAAATCCTGTCAATCCTGTAAGGTTTAACCCTCTTTTAAAAAGCACCAGAGTTGGGGAGGAAGGTAGCTAGTTACTTAGTTGGGGGACAGTTTGGCACCAAGAAATAAAGTAGACATACATTGGGTTCTCTCTGTTTTATGTCAGTGACTTTCCCTTTGCTTTCCAAACAAGGAGAGGGAGTGTGGCTTCTTGGCTAAGAAGCCAAGATGCTGTGGATCTCCAAATCCCCACTTCAAATCTGGGCATAGCCTGGTGTGGGGCTTAGCAAGCCACTGTTTAGCCAGCCTCCAACTCACTCCCATCTATGTTCCGGATTGGGCTTCTGCCATCTAGTGGGTTACTCAAAGGAACACTGGCAGAGACAAAAGGAAAAAGAATCCCAGTGGCTGATAGGAACTCATCTGCCTATGTTGAGTTTACATAACAATATGAGAAAGAGCCTGCTGGATCAGGCCAATGACCCACCTAGTCCAGCATCCTGTTCCCACCTTGGCCGACCAGATGCCCCAGTGGGAAACCAGCAAGCAGGACCCGAGTGCAAGAACACCCTCTGCCCTCCTGGAGCTGCCGGCAACTGGTATTCAGAAGCATCGTTGCACCCAAATGTGGCGGCAGAGCAGAGCCATCACGGCTAGTAGCCAGTGATAGCCATGAATTTGTCCGATTCTCTTTTAAAGCCATCCACGTTGGTGGTCCTCATTGCCTACTGCAGGAGGGAGTTCCATAGTTTAACTGCACACTGTGTGAATAAGTCCTTTATTTGATCTGTCTTGGATTTTCCAACACTGAGCTTCACTGGACGGCAACGAGTTCTAGTGTTATGGGGGGGGGCTTTCCCCCGTCCTTGGGACCCTTTCCAACTCTGAAGTGATGATTGGCTGGCCCCACACAGGGGGGAAACCAGCTCTGCCCTGATCAGCCTATCTCAATATTGATTCACTGGACTTTGATCTGCCACTGACCTTCCATGGAAAGGACTTGCGTGCTTGGCTACATGCTTCTTCCTGCCATTGTTTGTTCAAATTCCCCTTGCACGCTCCTGATTTCCACAGGAATCATACACACAGCTTCTCTGCCTTCACCTTGACTGGCAACCATCCTCTAATAAAACGATTCATCTGGATTAATTGGGAGAGCTGGAAGATGCTGCTTACTGTTCTGGAAAGTGATTAGAAACCCTTGGAATGGCAGGCAGGCAGGCATCGGGCGCGATGCCAGAGAGATAAGAACAAACCAGGACATGGGCCACTGGAACGTAAGGCTTCTCCTCGTTGGGGTCCAGCCTCCGAGATGCCTTTTCTTGATTTCCAGATGATGGCGAGGCAGCAGCGGCTATGTTTAGCTGGAGCCGTCTCAGTGGGCTGCAGGGAGGTCCTGGGAAGGGGGACTGTGGGAGGCTTGGAATCCAGTCTTGGCAGGCAGGCTGTTTTCCAAGGGAGTGGAGGAGGAACCACGTGCAACAAAGGCGTGCTCCTCAGGGCTTGCTTTATCAACTAAGGGAGGGAATGAAAGCCCATGGAGTGACTGCAGCTTGCTAGCTAGGGTAGATGTGCCGGAAACATACCCCGGTTTCCAGAGAGGGATATACACAGGTCCCTTGTTGGCACTGGTAAGAGCCACCAGGGGACCAGTTATGTTTGAAAACTTGGGTTCTCTAGCCGAGGGGGAAGTATCGTAACCATTTTGGCATTTCTTGCAAGTCAGCCTGTTCTGGCCATCAGCCTATTGATCTGTCACACCAGGTTGCTCTGCCTGGTGCCCTCAGAGGAGGCTCCTCCTGCCTTGGGGGAGTCAGACAATATCATCTGTGGGGAATGCTCAACATTCCCCAACCTAGTGCCTTCCAGATGTTGTTGGGGACCAACTCCCATCTTCCATGATAGTTAAGGATGACAGCCAAAGTTTAAACCTGCATCATACCACTGTAAACAGTCAGGGCTTCCCCCAAAGCATCCTGTGTAGTGTAGTTTGCTGAGGCTGCTGACAGTTGTGAGGAGAGCCCCTCTCCCCTTACTGAACTACAATTCCCAAAGTCCCCTGTGATGAGAGATTGATCATTAAAACACCCTGGGAATTGTAGGTACAGTGGTACCTCGGGTTACAGACGCTTCAGGTTACAGAAGCTTCAGGTTAGACTCCGCTAACCCAGAAATAGTATCTTGGGTTAAGAACTTTGCTTCAGGATGAGAACAGAAATTGTGCGGCGGCAGTGGGAGGCCCTATTAGCTAAAGTGGTACCTCAGGTTAAGAACAGTTTCAGGTTAAGAACGGACCTCCAGAACGAATTCAGTTCTTAACCCGAGGTACCACTGTAGGTGAGGGGGATATGGGGCTCTCCTCACAACTCTCAGCACCTTTAAAAACTACATTTCCTTTCTCCTTAATCATTCTGGTTGCCCTTTCCTGAACCTTTTCCTCTTTGAGGCAAGGCAACCAGAACTGTGCATGGCATTCCAAACACGATGGCGCCCTAGAATTGTATACTGTATTCATTGTATACATTATTAATACTGGCTGTTTTATTTTCGGTTCCTTTCCTAATGCTACATAGCGGGGAATTTGCCTTTTTCACAGCCACTGCACACTGGGTCGACATTTTCATTCAGCTATTTACTACGCCACTGTCTCATGCCTGGTCCATCACCGCCAGTTCAGAACGTATAGGTAACGGTAAGATTTTTTTGGTCCAACGTGCATTAGTTTACACTTGTTTACATGGGATTGCATTTGCCATTTTCCTGCCCTTTCACTTGGTTTGGAAAGAGCTCTTTGCAAGCCCTTTCTATTGCAGAGACCCTGGACAACTTAGTACCACCAGCAATTGCAACCACACTCACCAGTATAGGAAAGCCCATGAGGAAGTCGTAGATGAAAACGATCCCTGCAATCAGATAGGTGATCTGCAAAGAAGTCTTAATGGGTTCTGAGCCATCAATGGACGAGCGCCTCTTGCCTTGAGCATCCTCCACCACGATGGTGGGGACGTTGAATTTGTTTTTGTCGATGTTGTTGCCTGCCTGGATGGAGAAAGTTTGGAAGAGGGAGATGGCAACGCAGACCACACCCATGACCACGCTCCCGCTGATCAGGAGCAGGAAGCAGACACCAAAGCCCAGGCCGATCTCGGTGACGATGAAGCGGCAGTCGGTGGCGTAGAAGCGCTCCGTGGTGTCGTGCCAGCCCACGGCCGGCAGCGTGGAGAGGATGAAGGACACCATCCAGATACCCATGACGGTGTGGACCGCTTGCTTCTTGGTGTTGCTTAACCTAGAGAGGGGAGGAAAAAAGACACCTCCCCTTAGGACAAAGCCACATTCTCCGTATCCTTTCGGCTGAAAGCAAAACAGATCATCCCAAGCGTTTGGCAATGGCAACCATACAATCCTAGAATTGTAGAGTTGGAAGGTACACCAAGGGTCATCTTGTCCAACCCCCCTGGAGTGCAGGAATCACAGCAAAAGAACCTCTGGCACAAGGTTTCCCAAGCTTGGGTCTCCAGATGTTGATGGACTACAACTCTCATCATCCCTAACTAGCAGGATCAGTGGATGATGGGAGTTGTAGTCCAAAAGCAGCTGGAGACCCAAGTTTGGGAAACCTTTTTTTGCGGCAGATGCCCATCCAACCTGTTTAAAAACCTCCAGTGAAGGTGAGTCCACCACCTTCCAAGGTCATCCATTCCACTGCTGAACAGCTCTTGCCATCAGAAAGCTCTTCCAAATGTTTATAGTCAGAACCTCCTTCCTTGTCATTTGAATCTATTGTTTTGGGTCCTCCTCTCTGGAGCAGCAGAAGACAAGCTTGCTGCACCTTCCATGGTGAAAGCCCTTCTCTAGCTGTAATTCCTACACTGCAGGGGTTGGACCAGATGATCCTTGGGGAGTTCCTCTCCACTCTACAATTCTATGATTCTGTGACCACCACAAGACTCATCCAGAGACGGGACTTGCCTGTAGTTCACCGGCCAGCGGACCATCCACATCCGGTGATAGGAGAGGGAGGTGACTGAGAAGCAGGTGACCAGTGTCAAGGTGTAGAAGGTGGAGACGAAGACTTTGCAGAGGCCCTCGCTCCACTGGTAGTCGGAGTTTTGGCGGCGGAGCTGGACGACCGAGTACATGGTGATGGGAATGGCAATGTTAAGGATGTGCGTCCCGGCCAGCGTGCAGATGAGGAACTCCAGGGGCTTCCATTTCTTCTGCTTGGCGCTCACACTGAGGATCCCCCAGGCGTTGGCCAGGACAGAGAGCCCTGAGCAAACCAGCCAAGCCACAGCGTTCCTGTTCAAGGTCTGCTCATCATCCATGGTGGAGGGAGGAGTAGTGGCCATCTGGTGAGGCCAGGTGAGGATGACGTACCAGGAAGAAGGAGGGGAGGAGATGCATCCTACAAGCGGGCCGGGGCCATCAAGGGTGCATCAGGGAAGTGGGGGGATCCCACCCAAGGACCGACGGGGAAGCAGCGCCCGGGGTGGTCCTATGGCTCATGGTTCTGGAAGGGAAACAAGAGACAGCTCAGGAAACAAAGAGAGCATCGCCACATGCAAAAGGTTTGCGTGAAATTGATATCCTGCTGGATTGCAAGGCTCAAACAGAGGAGGAACAAAACACAGGAAGTACGGGCTGGATTAAGCCCATCTAGTCCACCATCTTGTTCCTGCAGTGGACCCAGGCACGACAACCTCTCCCCTCCTGCGGTTCCCAGTATTTGGAGGCATAGTTAAACTGTGGAACTCATTTCCACAGACGGCGGTGATGGCTACCAACTCAGGATGGCTTCAAAAGAGGATTAGGCAGATACATGAAGCAGAAGGCTCTCAATAGCTACTAGCCAGGAGGGCTATTGCTTTGGCTCCATAGGTGGCATCAATGCCTCTGAATACGAGTTGCTGGAAACCACAGGAGAGAGGGCTCCTGTGCTCGGGTCCTGTTTGCAGGTTTCGCATGGGGTCATTTGTGTGGCTGCTGTGAGAACAGGATGCTGGACTAGATGGGCCCAGTGGCGTAGCGTGGGTTGTCAGCACCCGGGGCAAGGCAAGTAATTTGCGCCCCCTAACCCGTGGATTTGTGCCCCCTAACCCGTGGATTTGTGCCCCCTAACCTGTGGATTTGCTCTAACCCCAGATGTTGCGCCCAGTGCGGCCGGCCCCCCCTGCACCCCCCATGCTACGCCACTGGATGGGCCATTGACCCGATCCAGGAGGCTCATTTTATGTTCTTATGTTAAACCCCTTTCAACCCCCAGAGGGGGCTCTTGAGATTAGCATAAAGCAGCAACAACATGAGACAGATATACTGTTCCCAACCAGGGAGCAACCTCTGATTCACTGAACTGTGGGCACCCACGTTTTTGAGGCATGATGCAAAGCCCACTGCCCCCATGTTAGGCAGCTAGCAGCCAGCAGCCCAATGCTTGGAGTCATGGTGGCTGGAAATGGAGTGTGCTGCCCTTATATCAAGCCAAGCCATTAGTCCCCCCACACCAGTAGCCTCTACTCTCCTTTTTTATTGGGAGATGCTGGGGACCAAACCAGGGATCTTGGCCTTGCAGCTTAGGTGAGCGTAAGACAGTGGTGGAGTGCTAAATTCTGGTTTACCAGCTCAGCCTGGCAGCCTCCTCCACCACGGCAACGGTCCCCAAAGAGAATCCAAATATGCAGGCTACTGAGTCAACCCACTTGCACATAGCCAGCCACTCCCATCAGCTGACGGTCCTCGAGTACAGTCATACCTCGGGTTACAGCCGCTTCAGGTTGCGTTTTTTCAGGTTATGGACCGCTGAAACCTGGAAGTACCGGAACGGGTTACTTCTGGGTTTTGGCGGTTGCGCATGCGCAGATGTGCTAAATCACGCTTTGCACATGAACAGAAATGCCAAATCACAAGCCGCGTGGGTTGCGAACATGCATCTTGCACGGATCACGTTCGCAACCCGAGTGTCCACTGTACATGCTTCTGAAGTCAAACACATTGCTAGCAAAAAGACCTTTGAAGCAGCCGAAATGAGGAAAGCTCATTTACTAAGAGGTGCTGGCTGCTGGGGGCTCCTCTCCTCCTGAGCTACCTTTACAGCTTGCTCTCTTAGCATTCCAGCTTTTTGCATTTCAGCATTTTGCTGAAATCTCTACCCTCGATGCTGCCTCCATTGAGCTTTGGCAACCTGGTCCTTATCCGCTTCCAAATCCCCAATCTTGGCTTGGCCCTTCAAAGGGTCTACTTATTATTCTGTCTGGCTGCAAAGAAAAAAAGAATAAGAAAAAAGAAAAGAAAGAAAGAAAGAAAAGAAAAGAAAGAAAAGGAAAGAAAAAAATACTTCTGCTCCAGTGGATCTTCAACAAAGGTGGTCAAGGAGCAATGGTCAGAAGAGCACCAAATCAGCTGCCAAGCACCTCCCAAACAGACAAAATGCACATCATTTTGGACTCCTGTTGGGGTCCATGACCACCGCAGGGAGGCATCTCAATAACATGTAAGAACAGTTCAGACTACAGGTGAGAGAACAGCCTGGAACATTCCCGTACAACAGCGTTGGGGGGGTTGGACTAGATGACTCTCGGGGTCCCATCCAGCTCTACACTTCCTTGACTCTATGATTCTAACTCTTCCAGAACGTACTGAGTAAGCAAAGCTTGGGCAGCAGTTACTGGGAATTGCAGGTGGGCAGAGCGGTGTTGCACTCCTGTCCTGCTTGATGGTTTCCCACTGGGGGCATCTGGGTTGCCACTGTGAGAACAGGATGCTGCACTAGATGGGCCACTGGCCTGATCCTGCAGGGCTCTCTTAAAGAGCTGAGTCAGAACAGTTGTCCCAACCTGGCCACCAACTTGGATGGCTTTGTAAGACAAGTTCATGGAGGATAAAGCTACCAATGGCTGCTAGCCAAGATGGCTATGCTCTGCCTCCCTGTTTGGAGGAAGTCATGCTCCCCATGGTTCTCTCCCTCCCCATTTAATCCTCACATCAGCCCTACAAGGTACATCAGGCTGAGAGAGGCAGCGACTGGACCAAGGCCACCCAGTGAGCTTAATGGCTGACTTGAGTTTTGAACCCGGATCTCACTCAGGTCCTAACCTGATGCTCTAAGCACTACACCACACTGACTTTCATGACCCCCACCCCAGGCCTGAGTTCCCACCCATGGAGAACTCAGCCAGCCCCACTCTACACAGCAACCACCCCCTTTCATCTGCCTAGCTCCACCCTTTTCTTGGTCACACTAGAGTGTGACAGAATGCTGAGAGCAGAGCAGTAGACAAGCGGGAAAGGTTGTCAAGAACTGGCTCTAAGGCAGATTATCACCACCTCCTCACAGTATATGCTCACCAGTTTAAGAGGCTGGTTTTTTGTTTTGTTAACATTTACATTTTTCCACTTCTTTTCCATCTTTTGCTTTAAAAAACGAAAAAATGCTCCTTCGACCTTCAGGATGTGACATTATCTGTCAGGGTGCGATTTAATATTTAATCTGCAAAGCTTCCTGCAGCTCTAAGCAAGACTTAATGAAATATGTCTTTTGCTATTTATTTTACATTTTTTCTCTGCACGATTCCTAAGGAGCAAGGCTGGGGGCGAAAAGGGAGTGGTGCTGTTTCCTCCTGGGAGCGCTTGGCCGTTTGCTGCAGACAGACAGCTGCTCACCCTGCTGGGTCAAAAGGCATATGCTGTTCCTGGAGGAATCCACCATGCTGGCCCTCAGGACAAACTCCATTATCAGTTCTCCTGCCTCACAGCTGACCCTGAACACTGTGAGCCCAACCCTTGACTGCATTCCTTTTCTTGCAAAACTCGCATTGTTTGAGCAACTGTCTCAGGGCTCAAGCACTCTCATTTCTGCACCAGCAGAACGCAAAAGGGTTCCTTAGGAACTGGCTTTAAGACCATGTCAGACCATTGATCCATCTTGCTCAGCACTGTCAACACAGACTGGGGCTCAAAGCAGGAAGTCTCTCCCAACCCTACACAGAAAGGATTCCGGATGCCAGGGATTGACCCTTCTGTGTGCAAAGCAGACGCTCTACTGCTGAGCTATGGCCACTCCCCTAAAAATAAAGTAGGATGCTAGTCCTCATGATAGATAGATAATTTATTACGGTCAAAGACCAGCTCGCATAAGACAATAAAAACAGTGTTCATAAAGATGAATCAGAGGAGAATGCAGCAATAGCTCATGAGTTAAAATTTAAATATATACATACACCCGTACAACTGAGATTTGGGCTACCATAAAAATTGACCCTGAGGCACCCCAAAGTGTGCCTGCAAATGCGACTTCAGCATTTCCCTAGTAAGCTATATTATTCTAGAGGATGGTCTGTGCCTACAAATCTGGGCGCAGAATCTGGCTACCAGCCATGTCGTCTTGTAATCTTTGCCTAAGAGGAGAGAATTTAGTTTAGACTTGTCTGAAAGATCGGCAAGCCTCTTCAGCAGAGGATCAATGGTGTCTCTACGAATCTCAACATAAAAAGGACATCTAAAAATATGTGTTTGGGGCTTCCTATTTCCCCTAATGGGCAGGCGCAAAGTCTCTGTGCGTACGGGACTCTTCTAGAACCGGTGAGGGCAAGGCCAAGCTTCTGCTAATCCTCCTGGTTCTGAACTCTCTCCTGCAGGAGTCAGCGACAGCCTCCAACTTGGATAGCTTTAAAAGAGGATCGGAGAAATTCATGGAGGAGGAGAGGGCTGTCGACGGCTCCTAGACGTGATGGCTATGCTCTGCCTCCACAGTTGGACACCTGTTGCTGGAAGGGAGCGTGCTCTTGTGCTCGGCTCCTGCTCCTGGGTTTCCCCAGAATAGGAACCTGGAGTTGCTAGACTAGATGGGCCAGTGGCCTGATCCAGCACGCTCTTTTTATTTCCTTATGACACCCATTTCCCTTCCTTGCAGCAATGCTTGAGACAGCATCACCATCTAGTCCAGCAGTGGAACATCCACTTTTGGGGGGCATCCCATCTCAGAGATGAGCAGGATGAGGGAGAGGAAGGATTCGGCTACCTGCCGGATGTGAGAGAAGCTGGCTAAAAATAACTCAGACTTGCAGTGTAGGGGGGGGGGAGTGAATGGGTATCTCTGTGGAGGAATTCAGCAGGCTTCCTTTGCTAACCCCCCCCCATTGACACCTCTCTCTTTGTTGACTGCCATGGCAACCCATCCAACACCAAGGAGATAAATATAGCCGGGTAGTTTTCTTGGGCTACATACAGTTCAGGTGCAAACTGCAGCCGCCACACCGCCCCCCGCAACACTTCCATTAAGTAGCAGCGAGACTTACAATGGCAGGCACCCCACGTATTTATTTATGCTGTCCCTGCAGAGTGGGTGGTGCTGGTGGTGCAAAGACCCGGCGGGGTTTAAAAAGAGAGACTATGAACCACAGGCTTTAAATAGGCGCCTTGCAAGCGAACTGTCTGTAAAGCTCAGTCAGTAGAGCACGAGGCTCTTAACTTCAAGAGTTACAGGTTTGAGCCCCACGTTGGGCAAAAGATTCCTTC